CCCTTTGACTCCCAGAACTGATATCCATTTAGTAAACAGTTTCTCTGAGCCCCTTCAATCCATGCATATGTCAGACTGAAGTGCTAAGAGTTGTCCTCCTCACCCCTAGGATTCCCTCCCTGAAAGGAGTCAGTGTGTCTACACAGCAAGACCAGCTGTCAGGTGAAAGGTCTCAGAGGTGTGTCTCCCATACTGCTTCCTGGAATTCCCAGCTTTTCTGGTAGCTCCTGATAGGTTCTTAGTTATGACTCTAATTTCTTCTTTTTCTTCCTATGCCCAACAGGTGTTTCCAAGAATCATCTTACAAGTACACTACCACACTCAAATTCTTATCTTAGGACTAGTTCCAGTTGAATTAAAATTAAAACATTAAAGTGCCATTTGCAATTTACAAAGTATGCACAGATGTATTTTTACAATGCTTATATCTTTGTGGAATATATTGGACAAGGCTTTGTTTTTTACAGATGAGGAAACTGAGGAAATTAACCTACCATCATCAACCACAATAACTAAGGTCCCTTAGGTAGTAACAAAGTGCAACTAAGACATAAGTCTTCTGCTTAAAAGTCGACTCTGCTGTTGTACTTGAAAACATCATTCCTGGGCCTCCATTTTGAACAAGTAAATTGAAACTGCCAAGAGAACTTGAGTCTGTGACAACGTACCACTTTGATTTTATTATAAATCTCCTGGAAATAGTTACTCATGTGTCTGTAGAGGTCTTTGTCTTATATATCCCAAAGACTGTGTGTCAGTTGGTGAGAACGCTGATCTAGACTGTTCCTTGGAGTTACTAACAAGATGCAGAGGCTCCCTGTCTCTGAGGGAAGTGACAGGTGAACAGACTGTCTTACAACAGACTGCCTTTCAGTTTCCAAGGTTCACCTTCAGAATGGTGGCGTGTGAAGCTTCATGAGCTAATTGCCTCAGCTTTGAGGTGCTGCAGCTTGTTAAAAATTCTCACTCTTTATTGATTCCCTGTGGCTTTTCCAAAAGAAAGGGTACTTTTAATGCATCATGAAAAGAGTCTGTGATAGGATATCATCAGGAGTTGAAGGCAATCAAAGTCCAGATTTCAAAACTCATTGCTGTAAAGTGTTTACTTGTCAGATCCAATTTGTTGACAGTGCTCAAATGTGTGTAATTTCTTGCAAGGCAGCCTTTTAGAATGTGAGGACATGGCAGTAATGAAGAAAACTTGTATGTTGGGTGAACCGTGAGCCTGAGTGTTGGAGCTTGACTTGGTAAAGTCAACACAATGCCAGCATTAGTATTCAGATACAACTTCAGCTCCTCAGAATGAGCTGCCATGTAGTCAATTTGTCAAAATAAAATTTCAGAGCCTTGGTCTGTTTCCCCTCTCTAATAATCAGAACTTCCACAACAACGTGAGAGGCAATTTCAGGGATAGAGATGTCAAATCCTTTGCTGAGAATATTCACCTATTATAGTGGCAAAATACTTGGTCAAGCACTATACAGTTTAAGGAGTCCTCTCTTAATTTAGCTAGTGCAGTCCTCAGAAGAATTCTATGCATTTGAGAATGTATTCAACAGCGTTGGGTATTAAACCTTCTACTGCTTACTCAGTACCTTGTACATAGAAGGCACTTAGAAAAACTTTTGTGACTAAAGACAAAGTAATATAATTTTTGCAAAAGTGTTTGGTTAACTTGGTCTATTGTCATTTAGTTAAATTATCTTCTGTTCTCCATGTCCTTGACCACACTCAAAAAGATTGATACCTAATGCACTGAAGCTGATTTTACAGAGGTGAGATATTTCCTCTACACAGCAGTTAAGAAGCGTGGCCACTCAGAATTAGCTTTCAACCTTCTGTTGGAGGTGTTTATATATGTTACCCTTACTTTAGTATAGAATTTCTCAAACTGCATTCCAAAAAGAATTATTTCCTAGTGATATCAATGACTGTGATTTTTTTTTTAAAATTTGTTGTCAAATATGTTTAGAAAAATGCTCTTTAAGCAAGTACAGAAATTGCTGATTGTTTCAGTTACTTCGTTGTTATTGGAACAAAATACCCAATACTCACAAGTTAAAGGAGAAAAATTTATTTTAGGTCACATTTATAGATTTTAGTCCCTAGTTCGTTGGCTCCAAAGCAGGGTTACATGACAGAGGGGAATGGCAGTGGAGAAATTGTTCACAATGTGGCTGGCAGGAAGCAATAAACAGCAAGCCTTCCTTTCCCTTCTTATTCTATTCAGGCCACAATCCTATTGGTTTAGGCCATCCACACCCAGGGTGTGCCTTCCTATTATCCACATCTAAAAGTATGATAAACCAATCAGTGCACTAAACCAGTTATCACACACCCTTAATCCAGTAACACACACCATGATCCAGCCATCTCCCCAAAACTCTGCCTTTAAGTTCATGACGATTTGAGGGGACATCTTGATATAAACCACAACACTGGTTTGAACTAAGCTCAAGACTTCTTTACAGTAGGATACTGCAGAGCATTTTCATCCCCAAAGGTGGTACAAGTAATAATTCTTAAACAAATGTTATCTTTAAGCTCCTATACATGGAACAAGCTCCATAAATATGACATTGGAAATATTGCCAATAATATTGAAGGGATAAAATTTCATTTTCCTCTTCTGAATTGGTCTTTATCACCATGCCAATAAAATCAGTGGTATTAGTTCATCCCCAATGCTATCCTTTTTTGACAAAATTTTCAGGAAAAAATAATAATTTACTTGTACATTAGTTTGTCCAGGAAATGAAGGCTTCTGTACTGTAACAGAAATTGTTAGCTCTGCAGGATTACATACTATCAGAAAGGAAGATTGAGAAGGGAAAAATGATCATTTCTGAAAGTAATATTTTTCAGTGAGTCCATTAAGTCCCTAAGATGTTTTGCCTTTTAAAAAAAATCAGCATACACATGCCAGATTTTTCTTTACTCCCTAGCAAGTCATTCCACACAGAAAAAAATATTTGTAAGAAAAATAGCAGACTAGAGATAAAGAAGGGAAAGTGGCAATGCTATTTTTATGAGATGTGGCATCAGAAGACATAAGAATTTGTTAAACATTTGACGAATAAAAACAAGAGATGAGCCAGGCATGGTCGCGCATGCCTGTAATCCCAGTACTCAGGAGGCTGAGGTGGAAGGATCGCTGTGAGTTCAAGGCCAGCCTGGGCTACAAAGTAAGCTCAAGGCCAGTCTGAATTGCACAGCAAGACCCTGTCTCAAAAAGACAAAAAACAATAACAAGAAAAAAAATAAGATATGAGCTTAATATGAAGATGCAGGCACAAATAAACCTTTCTGGTCTGCATTCACAGAGGTTACTACGTCTGAGGCAGTCACAAGTTAAACTGACAACTACAGTTGTGATGGGTGTTTTGAAAGAGAATTAGAAGGTTTTATGGCTGTGATTAGCAGGTAGACTTAACCAGAAAGGGGATCAGAGCAGGATATGACTTTCATGCTATAATTTGGAACCCACCCTTAGGATCAGAAACCAGCCCATTCTGAGCAAAAGTAACAGCATTAGCAACCCTTCACATGCTGGTACATAAGAGAGAAGTCCAGTCAAATTCAAGCCATGTCTAGGAGGGCCTCAGAATGTGTTGCCATTTCTTGCATCCTCCTTATATGCCTGTGAGAGTCATTTAGTGCTTATTCACTTGTTTATCACAGATGTGCTTGGACAAGATTCCATAGAGGATAAAGAAGATATATAATATACTTCAAAAAATAATTTTAGCCCACTAATGACGTATGAGTGAATAAAGAAATGAGGCAATGATAAATAAATATTCAACACCATTAAATAGCATCTGGAATATAAGAATTATAATGAAACTAGGTCAGTCCACTCAGAATAGACCACTAGGTCAGTGTGTCCAATTGAGCCCAAGAAGCCAAAGACTTTTGCAAATGCTTATTCAGAGTGCTTAGGTAAAACAGACTCTATGGTATTTCAAAATGTGTTGGGTACAATTGAAACAAAGCTGATGTTTACATGTCAAAGTACAAATGGACAATAATTACATGAAAACATGTTCAACATGTCTGGCCGTTAGAGAAATGCAAATTACAACAACACTGAGATTCTGTCTTACTCGAGAAAGAATGACTATCATCAAGAAATCCTATAATACATGGCAGCAAGGCTGTAGGGAAAAAAAAACCCTTCTACATTGTTGATGGGAATATAAACTAGTATAACCACTATGGAGATCATCAGAAAACTAAAAATACAACTTCCCTTTGGCCCAGCTATTCCCCTCTGTGGGGAGTGGCAGAGCTGGAAATAGATCACATTTTGGTGGCTATAGCAAGGCCGGCCCCAAGAACATGGAGCTCCAGAGGTGAGCCATGTGAACAAGTTATCAGGACTAGAGCAAAGCCAGTCCAGCAGGTGTCTGGTCTTGGTGTTCCTCCCTGATAACTACAGCACAGATAGCTCTGAGTCTGTTTTGCTTTCAGTGTTCTCAGCAAAATACTGAGACCTTGCACTTTTGACCCTGTTGCGTGCTTCTCCACTTTATATCAAGTATAAATAAAGATGCAGAGCATGTTAGATTGTCATTCCCTCTCCATCAGAGAGATCAGGTACCACTCCATCCCAGCAAAATAAAAATGTCCTGAAATAAACGAAGGTGGGTCTATGAAGCTTTGCAAGGTTTTAATCAGGTACATAACCAGTGAAAGATTTATCCTTTCCTATATTCTGCAGTATTGCTGGCACCATCTCAGTTTTTTCATCAAAGATAATGAACTTGGTGTCTTTGCTGCAGAACATGGTTGTTATGGTTTGTCCCCACAAAGCCTCATGCAGTCTTAGGCTTTTTTGGAGGTGGCTGAATGCTGGCAGTGTGATGCTGGGAGGAAGGATGTGTGATTGCTAAATCAGCCCACTGATTGGTTTGGCACTACCCTAATCACAGCTGTCTAGCCACAATATATAATGGACAGAAAGAGTCTTGTCTCCCCCAGCTTGTTGCTTTGCTACTTTCTGCCTGCCGTGACTGTTCTTCTCTGCCATGTGCTACCCCACTTGGAGACAGCCAAATATGGATGGAAAGCTCTACAAATTGTGAGTTAAATAAACCTTTCCTCCTTTCACCTTGCATGTGGGGTATTTTGTCTCAGCAAGGAGAGAAAAGTAACAAAGACTATGGCTTTCAGAAACCACAGTATCTCATTGTTTAGGTGACACCACTAGAGTCTCACATGTATAAGATAATCAGCTTATCCAAAGCCTGGATTTCTGAGTTAAGGTTTTTCTTAAGTAGAGAAAACCATCTTGAACCTTCATTTCTGTCGGGATGTATTAGATCATATGGAATTCTCTATTTGACCTTGGCATATTTTTGACAGTATCCCCAGATCTTTTCTTTATGCCTCTAACAAGAAAACAAAAATTGAAATAGATTACAGTGGTACCTTAGTTCACAAACATAATTATTTCTACAATTCTGGGGAGGATGGCTGTGTTTGTTTGTGTTTGTGTTTGTGTTTGTGTTTGTGTTTGTGTTTGTGCAGGGAAGATAGCCACAGTCATGTTCAATACCCAATGCAGAGTTTGATTCTGCTTCTGTTTGTGAACTAAATTGTTCGTGAAAAGATGTGTTCGTGAACCAAGTGTGATGGATTAACTAATGGTCAACTTGTAACATTCAGCTGAACTGAAACAGCCTGGTGCAGGGTGTGGAAGGCCCACCTGAGGATTGTTGCCAACAGTATAAAAGGAGATCTGGAGGGGAAAATGGTATGCTTCTTCTGGAGAAGCTTGTCACACTGGCTTTTTTGATATGAACTCAGCTGTTATCATCAGAGGAGCTCAGGTCTTCACTGTTGCTGAGGATGGCTGCGGTTTCTCTTTAGGGGAGCTCTGGTCCTTACTTTGAACATAATTTCCTGGCTCCAGTGCAGATCCCTCAGCCCGCTGGCACAGATCTTTCATCTTGCTGGTACAGACTTTCTAGCTTCCACCACTGACCTTTGGGGGTTTTCAGTGCAGATCCTCGATACAGACTTGCAGGAGACACTGCCATGGGCTCTAGGCCTCCAGCTAGACTCATGGAGGACATTGTCATGGGCTCTAGGTCTTCAGCTGGACTCATGCAGGACATTGCCATGGGATCCAGGCCCTCAGCTGGATTCTTTCAGTCTCTAGTGTGTGAACAGATCTCCCACACTCTTTTGCATTTGATTCCAAGGGTCTCAACTAAAAACTGATGAATCTAATTGATTTTATATGTATCATTCTATATATATCACACATACATGATATTATATGTATATATATGGAACTTATATTTGTAATTTAGATTCTATTGTTCTGATAAAATAACCTTACAAATTATATGTCCTATATTAAATCTTTTCTCTTGTAAACCCTGGCTTGACACCAAAGTACCACTGTATTTTTCAATAATGTATTGGTGGTTATAAAGCTTATGCAAATAATATAATTTACATTTCAAAGTAATGCATATTTACTACAGCTAATTTTTAAAAGAATTATGGAGCATAAATTGAAAAAAATCTATAATGCCATTACCTAGTCCTAATCTGTGCTAATATTTCTATGTATATATTTTAGGAGTAAAATTTTGAATTTCTTTATTCTATATAAATACCATGTATTGAACTCCTACTATGTTGTAGGACTAGAATATCATTTGACCAATGATATCTCCTATAAATTAATAAAATAATTCTGTAAGACACGAACTACTCTTTTTATTCCATACAGAAATCCTGAAGCCTGAAGCTCAGAAAATTTCCAAAGATCTCAACTAAAAACTGGTAAATCTAAGTGATTTAATATGTATCATACTGTATGTATCATATATATTATATGTATGGAATTTACATTCACATTATTTTTAACTTAGATTCTATTGTTCTGATTGTCATGGTAGCAATCACAAGCATTTCCCTGTTGTTAGCTATTTCTAGAAAATAGTATGCTTATGATTATATAGTATTTTACTGCACAAAAACCTCAGATTTATTGATTATAACAATTTTGTAAGGAGTATCATTGAACATAAATCTCCAACATCTGACTTTTTCCTTAGAATAATTCTTATGAAGAAAAATGCTATAAAAAGGTGGCTATTTTTCAGGTTCTGTATATGTATTTTGAAAATGTAGGACTGTAACTTATACATTTTTTAAGTATCCACTAATTAGGCCAGAAACCTTTCACTTGGAGAATGGCGCTGCAAATGGATTGACAAATTCAAAAAGAGAGAAAAGAACAAATATATGGGAAAAACCTTCTGATTAATAAGGGAATGAAGCCAAGGATGAGCTGGGATCTGAAGACACTGACACATGTTGACAGCTTGTTTTCTTTTCCCTTTATTCATTAGAATCATCAACTCCTTCTTTACATAACTCTCCTTGCAGCCAGCTATCGCTAGTTCTGAAATTAAAATTTGAATTGGCATGAGTGGTATAATACAAGGAGAGAAAGCATGAGGAGAGAATCCTACATAGAAACCAGGAAAATTACTAGCTACCTGTTTTGGCCATGGCTGTTGAAGTCACTGTTCATTTCTCCTCTGTGGACCATTGCTTATGAAAACAGAACCTTGCTAAGCAGGTGAGGCTAATTGGTCCCATGCCCTCTCTTCTGCTAAAATTTTTGAGAGGAAAGAATTTTGCAGTATAACATTTAATTGTCAGTGAAGCAGTCAATCCTTGCTTTACCATCAGATTCACATTATTCTACAATTTATTCTTCAGTGGAGCACTGCCAGCATGCTATTTCTGGTCTGTGATAGCATCTCTGTGTAGCCCATCTATGATATCTAGCTGTGCTCCATGGGACAGCCCTCTGCCTGCATCTGCAGCTGTATCCTACTTTCACTTCCCTAATATGCCTGGTGGTTATGAATATCCAGAAACATGTTAGTAGTTTTGATGTCTGGTATTCTTTTCTCCTTCATCCTGAAAACCATGGGCTCTGTCTGTGTCTCTTTCCCTGTTGGCCTCAGAAACATAATAAAATAACAGCTCTTGACTCACCAAACAAACATTATTGTACAGCTGTAATGGGGTAGCTACTTTTAGTTTCTAGAAATTGATAAAAAAGAACAGACCATGGATCTTCCCCTCAAGATATGTTTAGTAAGTCAGACAAAAATGTGAACAATTATGATAAATTTTTATAAGGACTTTATTCAACATAGGCTCAGGGTAAAGCAGAGAAGCATCAAAATTAAATCAGAAGGAACTAGAAGCTTTCCAGAGGACATGGAAAGAGTGCTGAATAATGCAGAGATAAGAAACAGGAGGAGAGAGAATGTGTCCATGGCAGAAATGACAGCATAAAAGAAGTCTGGGTTTCTTCAGACCACACAGTAGGATGGGCAGGGTGGCCATATTTAGCAAGTAAAAATCACAAGATGGTCAGTTACTTGCACTTTAGATGTATAAAAATCATATACTTTAGAATAATCTAAAATATCTCTTGTGATGTTTTATCTGAAATTCAAACACAAGTGGACATCTTGGATTTATCTGGTAACCCTGTGTTGATAGAGATCAGTTAGTGATGTATGGACTGCAATGAGAAGTGATTGAAGGACTGAGTGGAAGAAAATTACAGGGATCAAGTGATGATTGGCCATTTGAGTGTGGTCCTGAAAGTATTAGTGAATTTATAGGTGCATGTTCAAGGTTGCCCAGGCATTGATGTGAGACAGGAACACCAGTCTGCTCAAGTATTCTGAATACAGCTGCCTAAATCAAGGACCTGGCTTTCCCAGCACTGTCTCACTACCACTCCCTCCCTGTGTACAAATTTTTTCCAGTATGGTTCTGACAGATCATCTATAGACACAGTTCCCTAGACCACTTTGATACTGATCCACAGTGACCAGGAATCTTGGGCAATGATGCCTAGTCCTTGTAGGTAGATAATTCAGACAGTAAAAGGAAAGTAGAGCAACATCTGCACATCCTAGATGGACCTAATAATACAAATTTTAAGATGCAATGGAGTTTTATATATCTGAGATCAGACAGACGAGATAGTGTAGAGTAAGTGATACTTCATCCTTTGAAGAAACAGTTTCTGATTTTATGCAACATGCCCAAGGTCACATAGGTATTTAGGGTCAACAGCTGTCCTGAAAACAAGATTCTCTGATCAAGCACCCTTGCTTTAGCATCACTTGTTGATGGTTTTTTAGGACGATGAAATAATAGCAAAGGAGAGGCAGAGTGTGTTCTTAGGAAATGAGCAACGAATGCTCCAGAACTCACTGCCTGAAAAGGAAGATTTAAATGAATATGGCTGCTATGGTTGATACATTGTGTCAACTTAGGGAGTCTAGAGATTTGGCTAAGTGATAGCAGTTCTGCATCTTGAGGTGAAAAGGACATGCCCTTACCATTCTGGGATGTTGTTCCTTGTCAATTTGAGAAGTTTAGAAGGTTAACTATGTAATTCAGCAGGGAGCCAGAGTGCTTACTTTGTATTCATCCTGAGCCTGTGCAAGAGGAGGGCATGTAGATTACGTGAGCTCTACATGCCCCCTGGGTAGGGGTAGTCTGCTTACAATATAAGGGAGGGAAAGAGCCTTGCTCTCTCTGCCACTCTCCCCTTTGCTCTTGTTGCTTTACTATCTTCTGCTGCCATAAACTGTTGCCCTCTGCCATGTGCCACCCTGTCTTGGATCCAGCCAAGTATGGACTGAAACCTCCACAGACTGTAAGCTAAATAAACCTTTCCTTCCTTAATTTTTGGCATCAGGTAGTTTGTCTCAGCAACAAGAGAAAAGTAACCAAGACAGTGGCTAAGGGTAATACAATTGGGCCTTGGATCAATCTCTCCCTGTAGGCAAATTGTTTTGCTTGCTAAGAAGAGGAAAGAGAGACTTCTTGGGAGTGAGAAAGAATGCAGCATATTCTGCACTCTACAGAATTACAGGTTAATGAAAGGGCATAGAGATGAGGCAAGAAATCATTAAATCTTTCTTATGTCCAATGTGTCCTGTGTGTCTTGGCTGCACCAGCATTGTGGGAAGAATTGGGAATGGAAAGGTTAATACCTGGGTAGGTGACAGTTTCAAGAGTTTTGAAAGCTCTGTGATGAAGTTTGGCCTGTATACAGCAAGGATGAGAAACTATCCAGTTTGTAAGCAGAGCAATAATTTAATCATAATTGTGTTTTAGCAAAGTAACTAAGCAGTGCATGGAAACAGCTTAGATGGAGCAGAAATTTAACACAAGAAGGCAAATAAGACTATTGGAGCAGATCAGGAGTATTTCCTGAATTTTACTCTGGGGATCTCTGGGTCCCTTTGCCGCTACTTAGGGGAAAAGAGGGTTCCAACTGTATCTCCAGATACTGAATCCTATGTCTCTCTTCAACCTATCTAAACAAAAATTTTTTCTTAATAGTTCTATAGAACTAGTAGAAGTGACATTCTAAATGCTGAATAAACAATACTGAATAAATAACTAACCAGAATCATTGCTACCAAGGTCTTAGAGGTCTTCTATGACTCCAGGCATGTCCAAGAGCAGAGAGGTGGTGAGAGGTGCCAGGTGGGCCCTGAGAAGTAAGGTCAGCCAAGATGCAGGGGGAACTTTAGGTACACAGTGCTACAGGTAAGATCCAGTAGAAAGTGTCAATGTTATAATAGGTAAAAAAAAACTTGACATGCAGAGATTTCCATAATCTGCCCAGAATCCATATCAGCCTTGCCTAAAATATATACTATCCCAACTCTCTTCTATAATAATTAATAGTATTTCTTGTTTGTCAAAAATATCTTTTGTTTTCTGATTCTGTGTTGCTGCAAAGAGTATATTCCCAAAGTATGTTTAGGAAAATGCCAGTTCTCAGGGCTAATACAGGTCCAGTCTGCTCTGGTGCAGACATGCCAGTTGTGAAAATGTTGGACACATCTCTCTCCTTTCAAAAAGTTCCACTTTATCATGAGATCCACAAAAGATGAAAGTATCTCCAGAGAGTACGTCATTCCTCTTGTTTTCACTATTGCTCAAGGGACAGAGGTCTGCATCAAATCAAAAGCTGCACAAACACACCCTTGTGATTACATGCCCAAAGACCCATTTCACTCCTTACTCCAGGCCTTTGTAAATGCTGTTTCTGTTATTTACAAAGTTCAACCACCACTATCATCATCTTTTTTGAGGCAAAACCTTCTCATTCTTCCATTTAGTCTAAGACCTACTTTAATGTTTTAATTCCAGCCACCCATTCTCAGAGACGCTCTCTATCCAAGAAGTTTGGATAGAGACTCTCTCTCACTCTATCCAAGAAGTTTTCACTTTTCCTTCTTGGCATCAATAGTAACTTGAAGTATAATTTTGTTGGTATGACTCTTTAAACTTTCATCTCACCTAGAACGTAAGATTTATAGAGGCAGGAGTAGCATCTGTGTAGTTCCACATTATACCCCTAATACCTACAACAGAGTGTGAGAAATCGGATTACTATGGTTAAGATCTTAAATGTTCTCCAAAGGCTCATGGGTTAAATATTTGGTCCCCAGACGCCCAGACTTTGGTGCTCTTGGAAAGTGGTGGAATTTTTAACAGGTGGGACCTAGAGGAAAGAAGTTAGGTCACTAGGAATGTGCCTTGAAGACCTCTCTCTCTCTCTCTTTCCCTCCTTCCTTCCTTCCATACTCCCCCCACCTTCTTTCTCTTTGCTTCCCAAATGTTTCAGACATTTTGCTCTAGATCAAGAACATCCTCTCAAAGCCTCATGAACTCAGAAGTGGAGCTATCTGAAGGTGGTTGGATCATGGGGTGCTGTACTCATTGGTGAATTCACCCACTGGTGAATTCAGTAGCTAAATGTGCTGTTAGGAAGTAGATAATGGTCAGAAGAGGCGGGTCACTGAGGGTATGACTTGGAAGGATATATTTCCCTCCCTGGTTCCTCCTTCTTATTCCCCCTGCTTCATGGCCACTATGCACACTATTCAACTTTCCTTTGCCATCTCTTCCTTGAAGCCAGTTGACCATGAATTGGAAATATGAGACAGAATAAACTTCTCCTTTAATTTGTGAAAGCTGGGTATTGTGCTTTAGCAATGAGGACAGTGATTAAGACTCCAGGCCATGATGTAAACAGACTTGTTCTACTACAATTTCCCTACCATGATGTCTGGCTCATAGGCTCAAAAACAAGAGCCAAGCAACCATGGAATGAAACTTCTGAAACCATAAGGGAAAATAAAAGTTTCTTCCCATAAGTTTTTCTCATGTATTTTGTTACAATAGAAAAACTGACTAACAAAGATCCTCGGAAGCTATGTAGAAGGAAGAGAGCAGGCAGCTCTGCCCTTACCCAGACAGTCTGGGAGACTGACAACCACAGAGGGATGATCTTGAGAGGCTGCCCTCTTCTTCTGAAGGCTGATTTAGTTTCCAAAATCCACTGCATGGGGGCTGGGGATTTAGCTCAGCAGCACAGCTCCTGCCTGGCAAGCGAGAGGTCATGAGTTCAATTCCCGGTACCGGAAACAAACAAACAAACAAACAACAACAATAAAAATCCACTGCATGCAGGAGAATTTCACATTCAACCTCATAAAGCTTTGGGTGAATCAACACAGTAATTTTGTGGTAACGTGAGAAGTCAAGCCATCATAGTATGACATATTTGTCCCAGAGATTCTAGGACTCATGTTTGTATACTTTAGTTTTAAAAGAATTATCAGTTCTTCAGAGCACCAGAATTAGCTTTTGTTCTTCCAGATTACTTCAAAACAAACACTGCCTTCGCTGTGCATGTCAGTGGAGTAATCAGCAGTCATATATAGTCCTGGACAGGGCAAAATACACACTAACCACACTGCTCTGTATTCTGAACAACTTCATTCAATGTTTTATTTCCTATTGTCATAGCCATACCTGTTCTATTATAAAATTAAATGTCATTATAAAATATTAACTCTAAATGATCCAATTACATTTTTCTCCTCTCTAGCATGACTTACACTTTACATGATACACAAGAAAATGAATGAGGGTTTGATCACCCAATAGGGTCTGAAAAACTTGATGGAAGTAAGTTATTCTCTTCAGCTTTGCACCATAATTTTTAACATATTCTTGGGGAAGCTTCAGAATATTAATAGAAAGAATGAAATAAACCTCTGCATTTGCAGTCATCTTCCAAATCTAGAGAAAGTTTCCAATATAAATGTATGCATATAAAAGCATAATGAAAGGGGAAACTTTCTCCAGATACATTGATAGATGATAGATAGATGATAAATAGGAGAGAAAAAGATATAGATAGATATTTGCACAGATCTACACATGCAGACACATAATGGATAGGAAAGAGGGATGATGTGCAAGTGTATATCCTATGGGTAATTAACATGAATGTAGAATTTTATAATTTGTTATGGTCCAAGTTTTCTCATTTAATTGTCAGAACACACAGATGAAAAGTTAGGCAGGAATTATTTTCCCATTTTAAAAATGAAAAATTAGATTCCACAGACATTCATGCTTCTCCCAAGGTGGTACAAAAGCAGGAGAAGGGGCTTGCAGGACCCTGGCTCATTCTTGTCCTTTCATAGGTGTTTTTGATGCAGATCCTCTAAGAGATGAACTACATTCATGCATTTATGGCTTGAGTGTCTGAAATATTTTGGTACAATACCATAATATTTGCAGATGATAGATCTATTGTCTATAATAGATCTATTATTTGTAGATTATAGCACCTTCTGTGGAATGTTTCAAGTTCAACAAGGTTGGGGGAAATTTACTGATTTGGGCTTCCATATTCCTGGGACAATGCACAATTTACTATGTGCATCTGTATTCACAAACAGCAATCAGGCATTATCTTGTAGTAATTTGGCCCAGAAATCATTCCTGTGTATTATTTCTGGAGTTAAACTAATACTAAAACCTTTAACTTACTCTTCCTAAAAATCCAGCAGCCAATATCCAATCCAATTTACTAATTTTTATGTATCAGTGTATTAAAAATTAGTTCCAGTGGAAGAAAGAAAGGAATACTATTCTCTTTCTTGTTTGCAATATGTATCTGTTATGGTTTGTGTCTAGACGTCCCAACAAAGCCTTGATTGCTAAGAAGGAACAAGAGAGTATAAAAGATCATCAGAGGACATCACAACAGGCAAGTCTCTACCCCTTGCAACCTCAAAACTGCAAATGTGAAAGACTGCTTTGAGGAGAAAGCTGTAGAGGACCATGTTGCAGAATGGAGGAAGCAACACTATGTCCCAAAATGGTGGCAGCCTCACCATCTTCCAAAATGGTGGTGAGGTTCCAGAATGGTGGCAGCACAGAGAATTTGTTCCTCAGAATCAAGTTCAGAGTGCTTAGCAATCCAGGCACTCAACCCCTACAGTCAAGGGAGAAGAAAGCCTGGCTACTACTCCAGCTGGCAGCAAACCTTGGTACCATCCACGTGGTGCTAGTTTTAGGTGCATTCAAAATGCAAGAGCTGTGGGTTTAAGAAGGCTTCCTTACTGATCTGAGAAGGCCTTGGAAGCCAGGCAGTGTGCCCACAAGAGGGCAGTTTGTGAAGCTATGAGGGTGAAGTCAAAGGTGCAGTGGAGACCCCAGAAGTTTGAAAAAGCCAGGAACATGGATTGTCTGAGGAAAGCTGCAAGGAGGGAGGAAAGTGGGCCCAAGAGGGAAGCCATGAGAGCTACAACCATTGGAAGTGCCATAGGAGTGGAGCCATGCAAGTCCTTTGGAGCTCACAATGTGCCACAGATTGCTTCAGATGTTCCACAGTGAACTACAAGACATAATGTTTTCCCTACTCGATTTTGTACTTGCTTTGGTCCCAGTCCTTTGTATCCCCCTGTTTGTACCTTTCAGAATGATAATGTTTGTCTTGTACCATTGAATATTGAAAGTATTTAATTTTCTTCTCATTTGTACAGTGGCTACAGCTAAGAGTTTCCCTTAGATCTTGGAAGAGACTTGGGACTTGTACTTTTCAGCAATGCTGAAACTGTTAGGATTTTGGCAATTCTTAGAGAGGGACTAAAGGCCTCTTGCACAAAGGGATGTGCATGAGTCTTTGGGGGACCAGGGAGAGAACACTATGTTTGTGTCTAGGTGTCCCTCCAAAGCCTTATGCAGTCATGGGTGTGGGCTTCCAGAGTTTGTGACTGATTCATTGTCTAATGCTGGGATTATGGGTGTGAGCGCTACAACCATTCTAGGTTGGGTAGCCTACATAAAATATAAGGGACAGAGTCTTCTTGCTTGCTCCTCCCCCTTTTGGTTCTTCTTGCTTTTGTCAAGAAGTGCTACCCCTCTGTCACACCACCATGCCTTGGAGCCAGCTGATTACAGACTGAAACCTCCATAAACTGTGAGCTAAATAAACCTTTCCTTTCTTAATTTTGAGTGTCAGTATCTTGTCTCAGTATTGAGAGAAAATAAGGAAGACTTCTTCTTCTTCCAAGAGGAAGAAGTCTAAAAGGGGGATTTTCTATCCGCTAATGGAAACTGGCTTAGATGTCTACATTTCTATGGAGAGTTGAACAAAAACAAGTAGACAAAGGAAAAGAGGAGGAATAGTAGATAGTTGGCAAATGGTACAGTTGTTAAATTTGTTATTGCTGTTTTACTTGGAAAATGGTATAATTTATTTCAGTTGGGGGGAAGACACATTATGAACCAGCACTTTGCAGACTTTACTCTTAGTAAAGACAAGTGGGGGTAGTGATTAGAAACCGTTTGGGAGATGCTGTGCACTCTACCACCCTCCCAACATAGCAGTGCACGAGAGCCCAAAGAAACTTGTGATAGATGCTCAGTGGTGGAAAGGGCATCTTTAACTATTTAGCACAGAATTATGAAGTTATTTGGTTTCAAAACTTGTTTTTTAGAAACAACTTATATTAGTCAAAGAATATATTTTAAAATACTTCTCAAAGGGCATTCATATTTAAGTTCAGTCATTATCTTATTTTAATTAACCAGTTATCCATAATTTAAGAAAAAAATTATTAAGTTACTATCGTGTTAGGCAACGTTATTGTTTCTGTGAGACAGTGTAAGAATTAGTTAGGAAGAGAGTGAGATTAGGGGTAGGCTTATAGTCACAGCAGTAAAAGATTTATTTCCCTCTCATATTCTCCCTTTCAGTAATGACTTATGTATGATTTAGGGATAGTCTTTCTATCCTGGCATGCCCAGTATATAGCTGCTTTTTAGTGTCTCCTTGTGGATTGTATTAGTAATATAAAAGTATTACCCAAGAATATTTTTAAGCAATTTTACTTTTTATGTTTATCCCCTATCATTTATCTTACAGCTGTTTCTTATTCTTCATTATTTTGCAGGATTTCACACATCAATCTTTCTTTAGCTTGCTTCTGAGAAGTCTTCATTCCCACTTCTTCACTCTTACAGTAACCTCGTAGTTTGTTTTAGTAGTTCAGTGATATGATCTTGTCTTTTGAGACCATTTCTGGGCACTTGAGGGAAAATTGAACACCATCAGGGATAGAAATGCTACGTGACAAACATCCACAGCAAGACCTTGAGTCAATTTACATAATTGGTTTGGCCTTAATTAGAATATTTGTTACAGAGAGACATCAATATTTAGCCTAATGATTTTTCAAAACAGATGATAGTAAGCGATATGCTTTGCTATAGACTGAATGCTTGTGCCCGCTAAAGATCATGTCAAAGTGTATATTTTCAATGTGATAATATTTGGAGATGGGCTCTTTAGGAGGCAGTATCATGAGGGTGAAGCCCTTGTGAATGGAATTAGCATCTTTGTGAGAGATTCAGAGAACAGGGCTCTGTCTGCTGTTCACCATGTGAGGACCCAACCGGAAGACAGCTGCTAGCAGAGCAGTGGGGGCTCATACCCGATGCACCTCAGCTTATTATTTTGATCTTGAATTTCCATTCTCAACAACTGTGAGGAATAAATGTTTAACCCAGGCTGTGGTATCCTGTTAGAGATGCCCAAATGGACTAAGACAGGCTTCATAAAACAGGAAGTAGATTGGGATAAATTAGTTCTATCCTCAAATTTTGCACTTAATGACTTGCTACCTTGTATCACAATCAAATCACTGTAGCTCAGATACAATGGTCCCTCTGGTGCCTGGAATACAAGCTCATTAACATTTTATGAACTGATCACCACTTGGAGCTCTCCTATATTCCTAAAGTGACAAAATAATTCCATTTTCAATTAAGGTCTTCTTCCTAAATTACATGTACAAAACTTTCTAGTGATAGTGATTTCTATTCACTCCATCTAAATACAGATAGTCCCCACTTTTTCCATCAAATCTGTTTACTAAATAGTATTTTGGAGAGAAAAAATAATGAGCAGTTATTTATTTTCCCTTAGCTATTTATAAGGTTTCTGTCATTCATTATTTATTTCTGTCAGTTAATTTTTGAACAGGGAGCCAACAAAGGGAAATTAGGAAATGTAAATCATTCTCTTAGTGCTATATTTTATATACTCTTTAACTGTCGTTTTTAGAACATGCCTAAGGCCTTCATATCATCTCAGGTTTTCAGAAAGTTTATCAGCGTATCCTTTAAATTTGAAAAGAAATCCGTGTAATTCCTCCACTAGTAAAATTGACACCTATATGTATTATCTAACACTCATAATTCTGAAAATGTGTATGTTTTTAGTTTTCCATTCTTTAAAATTTATCCCCAAAGGTCACATCAAAATTCCATTCAATTTTCAAGCAAAAAACAAAAATTGAGTAGATTGGAGAGGAGCATAGAAAAATTAGAGTTCCAGCAAGACAAAAATGCCTGGGAATAAAACCAGCCTGTTGTATTTGTTTCTGTGATTAAATTTCAATGACTTCTTGAATCCCTGGGACCCCAGCTCCTTGGGAAACTATGACATCATGAAGTTACAACTTCCCAAGGACATCTCTTTTAAAAAGCAATCATCCTTTTTCCTCTGCATAGAAACAAAGAAAGCAAGATTCACTTTCCCTAGTGTTTCCTTAGGACCACATTTATGACTTGTCTAAGATTTAAAGGATTTTTTCTAGTCATGCTTGGGTAAATGGCTTTAGCTTTCTCGTTGTGTAGGAACAATAACTTCAGTAACACCAGTGCCATTGAGTCTCTATTAAAAACCTCCCCTGAGAAATTACTATTTTCCTTTTGTGTACCTGACTTCTTATAACATACCTAAGCACATTTTTTTCCTTTTATTTCTCTCAGGGTCCCACCTCAAGATCTAGACAGGAATCCTGATCATTAAGACCTACAAGACCTTTATAGGCCCTCCCTCTTCTCTAGCTCCAAAGGGATAAATTTTTAAAAAATTTTTATTCTCTTCAAAATAAGAAAACAGGCCAGGTGTGGTGGCCGCACATGCCTGTAATCCCAGCACTCTGGAGGCTGGGGCAGGTGGATTGTTGTGAGTTTGAGACCAGCCTGGGCTACAAGGTAAACTCAAGGCCAGCCTGAGCTGCATAGCGGGACTCTGTTTCCAAAAAAAAGGCAATAAATAAATAAGTTAAATTAAATTAAAAACAAATGAACATCCATCCATTAGAAAATAAAACTTCCAAACAATCATATAAGAATCATAAACCTTGAGTTCAAATTGTTCATAAAGTTCCCCCAAAAAATTCTCTGTAATTTCTTTCAAACCTCTTCTGATTTTCAATGAGTACTAATGATTTCAAAAGCATTAGTCTGCATTTTTGTTCCAGATAGATGATGCAGACTCTAATTAGCCATTTTTATAAAAGTAGATTTGTGGATTCAAATAGTTGAATATCTCCCACATATAGAGGAATGAAAGATGTTTCAGGTAGCTCCTGAGAACAGATTTGAGATCAAGAATTGGAAATGACTGTATGGTGATAGAAATAACTTTATGATAGAAAAAAGTGGTTGAAGAATTTGAACAAAGCCAGGCATAGTGGCACATGCCTGTAATCCCAGCACTCAGGAGGCTGAGGTAGGAGGATCATCATGAGTTTGAGGCCAGCCTGAGCTGCAGAGTGAGACCCACTCTCAAAAACAAACCAAAAAAAAAAAAAGAATTTGAACAGACACATATTTCAAGAAAGAGTGAAATCCCAACCCCAGAAATTTTCAAGGAGCTGCTCAAGCAAGGATAGCCCCGGAGTTGTCCTTGCATTTTTATTGAAAGCCACAGAAAAGGCCTTACTCATTCTTTTAGCCATGGCCACAACACTAATGTTTCACGTCCATGGTTGTGGAGATCACTAACAAAGGGAGTGGAACATCTACTTTGCACCAGTTTCATTCCCACTAATTCAGTGCAACATACCTTTGAAAGACACCACAACATGTATGGATGAA